GCTCCTTCAGCTATAGCTACGAGCATGATTTGCTACTAATTATCTTAGCCCGCTGCCACCGCTGCTTAATATTGAGCGACTTGTTTATTCGACTGAATTATTCGACTGGATTATTCGACTGAAGTATTCGACTGAACTTCTCGACTGAATTATTCGACTGGTTTATTCGACTGGATTATTCGACTGAACTAACTGAATGATTTTATCGACTGGACGTGGCCACATGAAAATGTCAAATACCTCACACACACCCCACACACCCCGCCCCACCCCATCCCCTTTCTTCGTTCATATCATATATAGGGATTCTATTCTTTTCGAGGCGGACAAGGACAGCTGTCTAGTCTTTCGGATGGGACGAAAAACCAAGGTCCCGTGTATACATTGGCGTGGACGTAAAAGATCCCTTGACAGATGGAATTCGATATAAGAGTATGCCGTAGTGCCGATGTCCGGGCAAAATTTCCCCCATCCCACAGTGTATGTCGTATGCCCGTCTTCATTAGCCCAGTTCCAAGCAGAACAGTAGGACGTTAAAACCCCATTTCATTTCTTTTCATTTCTTGAAACTAGTTGGGAAGCCCCCAGGTCCCCACCCCATGCCCCCGGCTCCTTCAGCTATGGCTACGAGCATGATTTGCTACTAATTATCTTAGCCCGCTGCCACCGCTACTTAATATTGAGCGACTTGTTTATTCGACTGAATTATTCGACTGAAGTATTCGACTGAACTTTTCGACTGAATTCTTCGACTGGTTTATTCGACTGGATTATTCGACTGAACTAACTGGCTGATTTTATCGACTGGACGAGGCCACATGAAAATGTCAAATACCTCACACACACCCCACACCCCCGCCCCACCCCATCCCCTTTCTTCGTTCATATCATATATAGGGACTCTATTCTTTTCGAGGCGGTCAAGGACAGCTGTCTAGTCTTTCGGATGGGACGAAAAACCGAGGTCCCGTGTATACATTGGCGTGGACGTAAAAGATCCCTTGACAGATGGAATTCGATAAAAGAGTATGCCGTAGTGCCGCTGTCCGGGCAAAATTTCCCTCATCCCACAGTGTATGGCGTGTGCCCGTCTTCATTAGCCCAGTTCCAAGCAGAACAGTAGGACGTTAAAACCCCATTTCATTTCTTTTCATTTCTTGAAACTAGTTGGGAAGCCCCCAGGTCCCTACCCCATACCCCCGGCTCCTTCAGCTATAGCTACGAGCATGATTTGCTACTAATTATCTTAGCCCGCTGCCACCGCTGCTTAATATTGAGCGACTTGTTTATTCGACTGAATTATTCGACTGGATTATTCGACTGAACTATTCGACTGAAGTATTCGACTGAACTTCTCGACTGAATTATTCGACTGGTTTATTCGACTGGATTATTCGACTGAACTAACTGGCTGATTTTATCGACTGGACGTGGCCACATGAAAATGTCAAATACCTCACCCACCCCCTCCCCCCCCGCCCCACCCCATCCCCTTTCTTCGTTCATATCATATATAGGGATTCTATTCTTTTCGAGGCGGACAAGGACAGCTGTCTAGTCTTTCGGATGGGACGAAAAACCAAGGTCCCGTGTATACATTGGCGTGGACGTAAAAGATCCCTTGACAGATGGAATTCGATATAAGAGTATGCCGTAGTGCCGCTGTCCGGGCAAAATTTCACTCATCCCACAGTGTATGGCGTATGCCCGTCTTCATTAGCCCAGTTCCAAGCAGAACAGTAGGACGTTAAAACCCCATTTCATTTCTTTTTATTTCTTGAAACTAGTTGGGAAGCCCCCCGGCCCCTACCCCATGCCCCGGCTCCTTCAGCTATGGCTACGAGCATGATTTGCTACTAATTATCTTAGCCCGCTGCCACCGCTGTTTAATATTGAGCGACTTGTTTATTCGACTGAATTATTCGACTGGATTATTCGACTGAAGTATTCGACTGAACTTCTCGACTGGTTTATTCGACTGGATTATTCGACTGAACTAACTGACTGATTTTATCGACTGGACGAGGCCACATGAAAATGTCAAATACCTCACCCCCCCCCCCCGCCCCACCCCATCCCCTTTCTTCGTTCATATCATATATAGGGATTCTATACTTTTCGAGGCGGACAAGGACAGCTGTCTAGTCGTTCGGATGGGATGAAAAACCGAGGTCCCGTGTACACATTCGCGTGGACGTGTATGGCGTATGCCCGTCTTCATTAGCCCAGTTCCAAGCAGAACAGTAGGACGTTAAAACCCCATTTCATTTCTTTTCATTTCTTGAAACTAGTTGGGAAGCCCCCAGGTCCCTACCCCATACCCCCGGCTCCTTCAGCTATAGCTACGAGCATGATTTGCTACTAATTATCTTAGCCCGCTGCCACCGCTGCTTAATATTGAGCGACTTGTTTATTCGACTGGATTATTCGACTGAAGTATTCGACTGAACTTCTCGACTGAATTATTCGACTGGTTTATTCGACTGGATTATTCGACTGAACTAACTGGCTGATTTTATCGACTGGACGTGGCCACATGAAAATGTCAAATACCTCACACACACCCCACACACCCCGCCCCACCCCATCCCCTTTCTTCGTTCATATCATATATAGGGATTCTATTCTTTTCGAGGCGGACAAGGACAGCTGTCTAGTCTTTCGGATGGGACGAAAAACCAAGGTCCCGTGTATACATTGGCGTGGACGTAAAAGATCCCTTGACAGATGGAATTCGATATAAGAGTATGCCGTAGTACCGCTGTCCGGGCAAAATTTCCCTCATCCCACAGTGTATGGCGTATGCCCGTCTTCATTAGCACAGTTCCAAGCAGAACAGTAGGACGTTAAAACCCCATTTCATTTCTTGAAACTAGTTGGGAAGCCCCCAGGTCCCTACCCCATGCCCCCGGCTCCTTCAGCTATGGCTACGAGCATGATTTGCTACTAATTATCTTAGCCCGCTGCCACCGCTACTTAATATTGAGCGACTTGTTTATTCGACTGAACTATTCGACTGAAGTATTCGACTGAACTTTTCGACTGAATTATTCGACTGGTTTATTCGACTGGATTATTCGACTGGTTTATTCGACTGGATTATTCGACTGAACTAACTGGCTGATTTTATCGACTGGACGAGGCCACATGAAAATGTCAAATACCTCACACACACCCCACACCCCCGCCCCACCCCATCCCCTTTCTTCGTTCATATCATATATAGGGACTCTATTCTTTTCGAGGCGGTCAATGACAGCTGTCTAGTCTTTCGGATGGGACGAAAAACCGAGGTCCCGTGTATACATTGGCGTGGACGTAAAAGATCCCTTGACAGATGGAATTCGATATAAGAGTATGTCGTAGTGCCGCTGTCCGGGCAAAATTTCCCTCATCCCACAGTGTATGGCGTGTGCCCGTCTTCATTAGCCCAGTTCCAAGCAGAACAGTAGGACGTTAAAACCCCATTTCATTTCTTTTCATTTCTTGAAACTAGTTGGGAAGCCCCCAGGTCCCTACCCCATACCCCCGGCTCCTTCAGCTATAGCTACGAGCATGATTTGCTACTAATTATCTTAGCCCGCTGCCACCGCTGCTTAATATTGAGCGACTTGTTTATTCGACTGAATTATTCGACTGAAGTATTCGACTAAACTTCTCGACTGAATTATTCGACTGGTTTATTCGACTGGATTATTCGACTGAACTAACTGGCTGATTTTATCGACTGGACGTGGCCACATGAAAATGTCAAATACCTCACCCCCCCCCCCCCCCCCGCCGCACCCCATCCCCTTTCTTCGTTCATATCATATATAGGGATTCTATTCTTTTCGAGGCGGACAAGGACAGCTGTCTAGTCTTTCGGATGGGACGAAAAACCAAGGTCCCGTGTATACATTGGCGTGGACGTAAAAGATCCCTTGACAGATGGAATTCGATATAAGAGTATGCCGTAGTGCCGCTGTCCGGGCAAAATTTCACTCATCCCACAGTGTATGGCGTATGCCCGTCTTCATTAGCACAGTTCCAAGCAGAACAGTAGGACGTTAAAACCCCATTTCATTTCGTTTCATTTCTTGAAACTAGTCGGGAAGCCCCCAGGTCCCTACCCCATGCCCCCGGCTCCTTCAGCTATGGCTACGAGCATGATTTGCTACTAATTATCTTAGCCCGCTGCCACCGCTACTTAATATTGAGCGACTCGTTTATTCGACTGAATTATTCGACTGAAGTATTCGACTGAACTTTTCGACTGAATTATTCGACTGGTTTATTCGACTGGATTATTCGACTGAACTAACTGACTGATTTTATCGACTGGACGAGGCCACATGAAAATGTCAAATACCTCATCCCGACACGCCCCCCCCCCCCCCCCCGCCCCATCGCATCCCCTTTCCATGTTCATATCATATATATTGACTCTATTCTTTTCGAGGCGGACAAGGACAGCTGTCTAGTCGTTCGGATGGGACGAGCATGAACTAACTTACTGATGTTATCGACTGAACTAACTGACTGATTTTATTGACTGGACGAGGCCACATGACAATGTCAAATACCTTATCCCCATATGCCCCCCTAACCCAACATATCATATATAGGGACTCTATATTCTTTTGGAGGTGGACAAGGACAGATGTCTAGTCGTTCGGATGGGACGAAAAACCGAGGTCCCGTGTACACATTGGCGTGCACTTAAAAGATGGGGGCATATGGGGATGAGGGAAAAAGTAAAGCATGACTTTATTAAGCCGCGGTGGCAATAACACCTTAAAGTTTTAATTTGAACAATCAAATTTGAACATGAGGGGACGTAAAAAATAAACAAAAACAATGATAAAAGATATTGGAATTAGTGCGTTTTTTCTTTAACTTATACTGATTACAAACGATTCCAAAATTTTAATAAGCCATCGACCGGTTTATTCGACTGACTATTTGATTTGGACTTAGGGTCAACTCGATTTGTAGAGAGAGTAACTGTCTGGATAATAATAACACAAGTTCGGCCGAATAACTTATTAAAAATTGAAGGCCATACCGCGGAAAGACTTGAAATAGTTGTTTACTTGATTGTCGACATTGCTTCCAAAAATGATGACTACAGATCAATCTGTTGAAGGGTGAGGATAAATGATATTATTAGCAAACATTATATTTATGGTGAATAGAGAGATTTTAAGTCCTAATATACTGGAATAATAATATGTAACAGGCATTGCCTGAGTAGAGCGAAGCTGGTTATTGTCAAATATAAAACCTTCAAAATTAATTTTCTCAAGTGATACAAAAAATGTTAAATAATTTAGTTTTTCCAAATTGATTTTCATTTAGATCTAAATTGTATACATTAATTTTGTTTTTTAAAAAAGAACAAAAAAGTGTGAGAATTATTTTCATTGACGTCAAAAATATGTGACCTCATTGATTAGACGCGTCATAGAAATAGTTCTATGAGGCGCGTAATCTCGCTTGGGCGAGATTTGGTAAGTTGACATGCGCATTGCCTGTTTTGCCCAGTGTATCCGGTTCCGGTCTGAATTTATTTTTAATCAACAGTCTGTGGGTGACAATTTCAGTTACGCTCCTGTGTTACCGGAAAAGAGCTTTGCTCAAGCACCGCGCTTCGCGCGATGCTGTAGAGCTTCGCTCTATATTATTATTATAAGTTGTATCCGGACTGTTAATTCAAGTTATTGGCATTATAAATTTACCTTTATAATATATGCCAGCTGGATACAGGCATTATAATTATAATTGTGAGAGGTGGTTGGTGGGGAATCTGATAAGTCTACCCTGGGCATAATGATGTCAAAACCTTTTTGCACTTGATTTAGGGCTTATTTTTAATAAAAGTGAATATATATTTTTATCTTCTAGTTTTCCAATTCTCGGTAATGAAAAAAGGTAGATCAACATCAAGTTATTAATTTTTTTATTATTATTAATACCAAGCATGTGCCTACTTATTGTTTCTTTTATAATTTTTAAAATGTTGAAACAAATTATTGTAGAGTGTGTGCATATTTATCTTAAGTTTATAATCAACACACCATGGAATGGATTACGAAATGCGTTTTTGCTCCTCTAAAACTATGTTAGACCAACGTTTTATTTATTATTATGAATGTATTTGAAAGAAATTTTATTATGTTGGATGGAATGTAAATACATTTAAAAATTTGATAAATAGATTGTCTGATGTAGTTTTAGAATAGGCCTACTGGTACGAAGGAAATTGGTGTGTAGACTATAGTTTATTTCTTATTTATTTGTTTGCCTTCAGAATCAGATTATTTTGTTTCTTATCTGGAATGCCCAATTTTTTTTATCAGCTTTACTTTTAAGTCTAATATGATTCGTAACTTTAGACAGAATAAAAGCCTGAATAAAAAGTTGTAATGATGGATTGATGATCTATCGATCTTTTCCTCACATAAAAGATGCATTATATGTAAGAGCTCCCCCATACTGATTAGAGCTAATCCCACTACTCACTGCTATAAACAAAGTTAACTGCGTAACAATACCAAACATAGCTCCACATTGGGCCAAATATGTTTACATAACGTTACGTCATGACTCACGATTTTATTATGCCCCATTAACCAGTGCATAGCAGGATATTGCAGAAAAACTAATTGTGTGACAAACAAGGCTATCAACTGTCAACACGAATTTTACTCCGTGGATATAATGTAAACAATATTGTTTTGAGACGAACAAAACTTTCACCGTTTTTAATACCTTAAATCACTGTCCAAAGTTTTAAGGAAGACCTCTGATTAAACGAAGGGCTGTCATGTTGCTGTGCTTTTGGGTAGATTTGATTGAAGGGGAAGAATAGACACACTCCCTCAAAAGCGCAAGTATCAGAAGCTAATCCAGCAATGGCCAGAGAGGGATTTCTCGGGCCATTGCTTCAGGAATATGGAGCTCCCCAGTTATATGAATATCAAAGGGAATGATAAAACTGACTCGGCTGGCAAGTCAGCTGCTTTATGGTGTTCCCATATCCAAATTTTTAAGACCAAATAAGGATTTTAAATCCATTATTAATAAATTCATTTATGACCACTGGCAACAGTCGTGGGATCTTGCAGGCACAAACAAACTTCATCATATTAAGCCCCTGTCAGGAGATTGGCCAAGCTCCTATAGAACTAACAGGAGAGATGAAGTTGTTTTGTGTCGCTCTGGTATAGATCATACTTTTTCAATACACATTTTTATCTTGAAGCGAGAGGCTCAACCAGAATGTCAACACTATCATGTTCCTTTGACAGTTAAGCAGATTTTGATTGAGTGCAAGGACATACGATCAAAACTTTTCCGTTGCCAGTCTTTAAATCAATTATTTGTCCATCCGGGTCTATATTGTAAAATCCCAGACATTTTAAAAGAGACAGATTTTTATAAAAAATTTATTATCTTGTTTTTCATTTTGATACGCCCACCTGGAAATGTGGTAATATATTGCTGTCTCCCCCGTCCGTAGGTCTGTCTGTCGATCAGTCACAATTTCTTGTGAACACTCTACAGACTACATTTATCATCTGATTGTTTTGAAATTGATATATGTTGTTTACATTAGTGAGATGAAGAAGCCCATTTGTTTTCAATAATTTCTGTTAATTTTTTCAGGAGTTTGTTGCACCTTGTGAACCCTCTAACGACAAAAGTTATCATCCGATCTGTATGAAATTTATATGTATAATTTAAATTAGTAAAACAAATTAGCCTATTGAATTTCAGCAATTTCCATTAATTACATCTAGAGTTATGGCCCTTGGTTAATTTCTTCTGGAGTTATGGCCGTTGTTTCACTTTGTTGCACCTTGTGAATGGTCTAATGACAACAGTTATCATCCGATCTGTTTGACATTTATGTGCATCATTTAAATTAGTGCAATGATGAAGTCTATTGAATTTCAGCAATTTCCATTAATTACATCAAGAGTTATGGCCCTTGTTTCACTTTGTTGCACATTGTGAACGCTCTAATGACAAAAGTTACATGTATGCATGAAATTTATATGTATCGTTTAAATTAGTAAAATGAAGAAGTCTATTGAATTTCAGTAATTCCTGTTAATTACAACTATGGCCCTTGTTTCACTTTATTGAATCTGTAAACGCTCGAACAACAAAAGTTATCATCCAATCTGTATGAAATTCATATACATCATATAAATTAGTGAAGTGAAGAAAGAAGCATATTGAATTTCAGCAATTTCCATCAATTACTTCTATAGAGTTATGGCCCTTGTTTTACTTTGTTGAACCTTGTGAACATTCAAACGACAAAAGTTATCATTCGATCTGTATGAAATTTATATGCATTATTTGAATTAGTAAAACGATAAAGCCTGTCGAAATTTCAACAATTTCTGTAGATTACTTCCAGAGTTAAGTTCCTTGTTTTAGTTTGTCTATTTAATTGTCTATTAAATGCCCCTAATTGCCTACAAAAGGATGATTTAATTGCTGTGGGCGTATGTTTTGTTGTCTGGCAACCTATCTTAAATATTTGTGTACATGAAGTTGTGATTTTTATTTTTAAATTATGTAATATACTGTGATATTTGTTTTTAGTTGTGTACATGAATACTTTATGTGATAGCATATAGTTTGTTTCATACTTTTCACCATATGTTTGGTGCAATATAGCCCGGTTGGAGCTGATGTGCTGTAAAACTTTATTTCATTCATTCATTTATTCAAATGACAAGCCCACAATCAACTCTCTAGACTATATATATATAATGGCTGAAATTTAATGGATTTGCACGCCCACAAGATTTAAAAACTTAACGATAATATGGATAATCGAGACTTAATCATGGTTGACAAGTACGGTACTGTTTCTAAAATATGTAACTATCTAAGGTACACGTACATAACTAAGCCCAGAATAAATGAATTTGAATGAAATTTTCGATATATTCATTTTTCATTATCTATTTTTGAACTATTATAGAGCGAACTGTCCGCTCTTATATAATGTATCTTTAATTAAATCTTATCATGTTGGTGGTTCATGGTTAAATATCTTAACCATCAGGTGTGATTGTTATTGTTGATGTTTGTAATATATTTGTGTTTCCTTTGCCTACTGAATAAAATCTCCATTATTCATGTTGTTCATTTGCATGAATAAAAGCTCTTGAAATGTGACCGCTTTAATATCGACATATCACTATATGTTTGCAGCAATTTCTGATGATCATAGCTTCCAGAGTTATTGCCATTGTTCTCTTTTTTTATAATCTTGTGAAGATTCTAATGACACAAGTTATCAATCTGCTTGAAATTCATGTGCATTGTTTAGATGGGCAAAACAAAGAATCCCATTGAATTGAATATGAATCTAGCTTTTTGATGTAAATGTTAATAGTATGTGGTACTTGGTTGGTTAATATGTATCATGAGTACATGCATTAGGTAATTTATAAATGCATTTATTTTATTTACAGCACTTAAATCTAGGCCCCCTGGCCAGCTCTCAATCATACTGTTTATGTGAAAATCAAATGTTCTGTGAGAGCCGCAGTGGCTCAGTAAGTAAAACGTTGGCTCGCTAATTTGGAGGTCCCATCCTTATCTGAATTTTCCGGTGAGGTTCCCCCTTGTCAGTGGTGCAGGATGGAAGGCATGGCAAGTGATAATGTATAGTCATTTGGATGGGATGAAAAACAGGTCCTGCGTACACATTGGCGTGCACGTAAAAGAACCCTTGACAGTTGGAATTCAACATATGAGTAGGCCGTAGAGCCACTGTCTGGGCAAAACTTTCCTCATAGCACACTGTATGGCATATGCCCGTCTTCTTTAGCCCAGTAGAAAAGTAGGATGTTAAACCCCATTTCATATCCATTAACTTTAACTTTAGTCGATTTCAATGTTCATTTAAACTAAAAATCCCAGTGTATTTAGTGAATATAACTGGTTAATTTGGGGTTAAAGACATTTTTATTCTAGTCCGATTTTAACTATCAGAAGCCTGTGATACTTTTTCAAATAAATACAGCGCCTTGAAAAAACATTTTTTTGTAGAGGCCAGAAACATTTGTTCTTTAGATTTGCTCTAAAACATTTCTTAAAATGCCATGTCAAGCCAACATTTTATTTCTTGTTTTAAACTAATACATGTACATATATAACTAAGTGAAGACCTTATGTAATATTTCAGTTATTCATATGAAGATATTCAGCTTATAGCTAGTAAAGTTTTAAAACAGACGAAGCATAAACCCAGTATAGGTATTATCTGTGGATCAGGCCTTGGTGGTCTAGCAGATATTGTACAGGATGCGGAGACGGTTCCCTATTCATCTATACCAGAATTCCCTGTGGCAACCGGTGAGTAGCTAGAACTGACATATCGAATTAAACATTTATCATTGGCAATATGAATCTTGTTGTTCTTGGTGTTTAATGTCCGCTTCCACCAAGGGCTATGTTGCACACAAGTTAACAATTGTCTTGTTTTTATTATTGTAGCGCACGTGCAGGGGTCTTTTCTGTGGGAGGAAACTGGAGTACCCAAAGTAAACCTGTTCGGACAAGTCCTAAACAAACAACTTCAACTTAAACATAGAATATTTAGCTGAATAAATTTATTGCTTGGAATTTTATTTGTACAATTTTGCTTTTTGAAATTCAAATTTGCATTTTGCAAATTCTGTCATACTTTATAGCACTTGCATTAAAGGTGCATTATGGGAGATTAGATAAAGAGTTGACTGTTCGTGCTATAATAGTTAAAAAATAGGTAATGTAAATAGAATATGCTGAAAATTTCAATTAAATTGCTCCACTCTGAACCAAGATATTAGCTTTTGAATTTTAGGCTAGCCTCGCTCATCATTACTAAAGTCAGTACGATAAAAAAAAAAACAAAGTCTTGATTAAATTATCCATTTATTGATTTAATTATTTTTCAATAAATGTATTCCAATCCACTAAATATTGTAGGCTAGCAATGGCATCAAGAGTTGAAAATGGTCTGGATACGTTAATTATCTAATTAATAATTTAGCTAACATTTCAGGCCTAAGGAAAGATCTGCAATCGGCAGATTTGGCTCTTGCATAATGCATGCTTTACTTAATCTTGAAAGTGTGGTGTGACATCACAAAATAAGGGCACTGCAATTTAATGCTTGAATAAAAGTTCCATTATGAATAGTAATCTGTCATTGTTTAAATTTATATCTAATTCTATTTCAGTTAAAGGACATGAAGGCAAGCTAGTGTTTGGTTATTTAGAAGGCAAACCTGTTGTTTTAATGCGAGGAAGATTTCATTATTATGAGGGATATCCTATGTGGAAAGTAAGTTAACATGTGATCTACGTAAAGATACCGCATATTGGGTTTAGAAAAGGTTCATCTCTGACTCTCCCTTCAAACATTGTAAAGGTAGAAAATGACCCATTGTTTGTTATTTATACATATGTATCAGCTGAAAATACACCAAAATTTATGTATGTGTCTTTCATCATTGTCTTGACGTAATCGTAAAAGTTAGATAAGGACTGAGAGACTCTGGCTTCTGTCAACATTGTCGACACAAGCTATTTTAATATCCCCTTGCAAGAGGCAAATCGACTCCTTTTTTCTTCTTCACATTCTTTACTCACTGTAACCCGGGTATAATTTAATCTGTGTACCTAGCACTATTTTCTTTCAAATTCATACAATATCAAATCTTTGTTTAAAAAATCGGTTAAAATCACCCACCAAAATCATCTAATTTGTACTTGTAAAGCTGGCCATTCATAAATAAGAACTAATTCGCTCATAAATAGAGGGAGAGAGAGAAATGGGGTTTAACGTCCACTCGACACAAACTAGGTCATTTTGGGACTAACATATGGTTTAATTTTTTATTTCAATAATTCGCGTGTGCGTAGGGGTCTTTAGCAGTGGGAGGAAACTGGAGGACCTGGAGAAAACCCACAAGGTTGGACAGGTGACCCTACTCCTTGACACATACAACCGGGGATTCGAAACCACGCCAGTTGACTCAATGACAGACCTTATGATACAGTGCGCACGTGCTAACCATTCGGCCATCCCCCCCCCCCATAAATAGAAAGTAGAGGAAGAATGGACCACACACAACTACAAGGATAAGCTAGAAAGAAAAACATAAAACAATTGCAGGCAGGATACCCAACAAGTTAAAATGTTTGACACTATAAGCCATCAGAGAACTATCATTGTTTAATTATACAGGTAGCTATGCCAGTACGTGTAATGAAAGCTATGGGTATATCAACTCTGATAGTAACTAACGCAGCTGGGGGATTAAATGAGAAGTTTAAAACTGGTGATTTAATGATATTACGCGATCATATCGATTTACCTGGATTAACAGGAGAATGTGTTCTCATTGGTAAAAATGATGACAGGTAAGTTAACCGTTTTGTCAGGCCTCCTATAAAGATGCATTATATAAGGGCTAAATCTGCCTATTGCAGATCTTTTGTTTGGCCTCAAATGCTATATAAATCGTTAATTAGACATTTACATGCATTCACATGTCAAGCCCGTAATCAACTCTAAAAATCGTAAATGTACTTTTTGTTCATTAATAGCATAAATACTATGTTGGCCAGTAATATGAATGACTTTATTATTGCTTAATTCCAGATTTGGACCAAGATTTCCAGCTATGGTTGGAACTTACGATCCTGAATTAATAGAACTTGCTAAGGAAACAGCTGTTAATCTTGGTTATAGTTCTATTTTACGTGAAGGAACCTACATCATGATTGGTGGGCCGTCTTTTGAGACGGTGGCAGAATCTCGTTTATTAAGAAACTGGGGAGCAGATGCTGTTGGTTAGTAAAATTAGTCAAGATTTATTTTTAATGTAGGACTAAACTACAGACAAACATCTTGCTCCGTTGAATGTCCCTGGCCTGTTCAGATGTATTCCCAAACCTGACTAGGGGAGGAATTTTAAGAAAATTATTTGAATTTAAAAAAAAAAAATTTGCAACAGATTAAAAGCCTAATGGACGATTGACATTAGGCCATACCACTTTGGATTTTTGTTATTCAGGAACACCTATAACAAATTTTGCTTCCTTTTTACTTTGGGGAAAATAAATAACTTAAAAATAAAAAGTTCTTGCTTCATCTGCCCTGACCCATCCTCGTTCCTCTTGAGGCTTTTGTCACCGTCAGAGTATCCGGCTCCATTCCGTTTGAATCCAGTTCAACATGATTTTGGGTATTGAAAAATAATAACGAATAGTTTATGTCATGAAGGAAATTTTCTTTTTGAAGTTTTGGAATCTGATGGTTACAGTTTTTGTTTTTCCATTTGTTTGCTTGCTTAAAATGTCCTGCCAAAATCGTGTTCATCTGATTATTATTAAATCAGTAAAACTAAAACATAGCATATGGATTCGGTATGTTGTGGTTAATCTGAGTGGCCTCAAGTTACCCCAGATATATGCCAAAATAACGCAAGAGACCAGGTTTCTTTCAAAAAATTTTGAGCTTGGGCGGAAAGACCTCCAAATCCCCTCGCTGAGTTGCTTGCCCTCAAGACCCAGAGAGCCCTGTCGCAGGACCTGTTGGTCACTGTCGATATCAACATTATGAATACACAAATAATCATAGGTAAGAAATAATTTTGACTCTTAAAAAGTGAAAATTAAAATGTTGATCAGACGGTAATCTTCTTTCATTTCATTATTTTCCAGGAATGAGTACAGTACCAGAATCTGTAGTAGCTAAACATTGTGGAATACGAGTATTTGGTATTTCTTTAATTACAGATATGTGTTCTCTATCTTATGATGAGGTTAATGCAACCACACATGAGGAAGTTCTAGCAATTGGGGAAAAGAGAGCTGGAGATCTACAAAAATTAATCTGCTCTATGATTGGAAACATGAATCTAAATAACAACTAGAGCAAATTTTATTAGTCATATGTGGACACGTATATTTTCATCTGTTCAACTTTTCTTGTGTATGCTCTACACACAATTGTTCTTTTGGTCATATTTTCTGAACAGATGTTATGGAGTTATCCTATGTCCCCCCCCCCCCCCCCCCTTCCCAACATTTAGATTCAAATTTATGAGATCCTGTCTTACTGGTCAGGGTTCTTAATAAACCTTTTATTAAAAACCAAGTGGAATTGTTCATTAATATCAAAAGTGTTCTTTTCAAATCTTGAATTTCAAATGCGATACATAGTACAAAGTTCTTAATGGATTTATTCATTTGGGGCTAAGGAGGAACTGTATTGAAATTACTTATAGAGTTATTGCCCTTGATTTTATCGTAGAATTTTGTCAGTCCACCACCATTGATATTAAAGACTTTGCTTTTTAATTATTAACTTTAAGATTTGTAATACAACATTTATCAACTGTTTTGGCATATATTTTGTTGCTCGGCAAACTATATTCTAACATATAATATCACTTACCAGTATTGAAGACATGTTGATTCAGTCATTTTTTTATATGATATACACTAAATCAGGGATTTCATAAAACCAATTACCAGTATATCATTGTAGCTATCGTATATTGAATCAGGGATTTATTAAAACCAATTACCTGTATAACATTGTAGCTATTATACTGAATCAGGAATTTATATTTCAATCCTCTCCCCCCAGAGTCCAATTCCTATTATTTGTTATTTATTGTCAGTAAGATAAGCATCTTCTGGGTGAAAGCTCTGCCAAATTCTTGTGTTATTACATATATACAATCAAATGATGACATTATGCAATTGATGGGTTTTTTTTTATACAATTTTTCTTTGCTCAGAGCTGTTCTTCACTGTTGTTTATTTATTATGCTCAACCTTTTTACTGCTGTTATATTTTGTCTATTTTAAATGCATGAAGTTCATAGTTTCATACTATTTCATTTATTAAATCGAAATGAATATTGCTAAAACAGCAAGAAATATAATGCTAGAATATTTTTCTGCTGCATGCCATCTCAAGTTGAATGATATAAGATATCTTACATTTGAGTTCGTATAGGCCAGTAGTAACAATTTAATACGCAATTGTTTTATCTTTTTGTATTTTTTTTATATTTCTTGTACATTTCTTGTTTAGCTATTGTTGTTCAGTACATATATGGGCCAAACATGTTGTTATTTATTCTAATATTAAAATTGCATTTATTGTAAGACAAATAAAAAATCTGTGTCACTTCAACAGGCATTATGTACAAGCTAAAACTGCCTGTTGCAGGTCTTTCTTTGGGCCGTAAATGTTATATAAATTATTAATTAGACGTTTATTAACATGACAAGAGCATAAGTATATTAGAACGGCTTGGCCATTTAATGATTTAATTTAAAAATGGAGAAGCAAGGCTAAATCTCAAATGACCAGTATGGTGGTTACGATCAATGCACACATGTTGTCAAAACTACAACCAATAATAACTTTGCTCAAAATAAAGTATTTGAATGAAATTTTCAATATATTCATTTTGCATTATCTATTTTTGAAATATTATAGCAAGAACGGTCAGCTTTTTATCTAAATCTTACATAAAGCTCCTTTAAAAAAGGCCACATAACCTGTTTTTATTTCAAAAATTAAATATAAAAACTGTTTCATTAATTACTGCATGTACATCTTTTACAAGAAATAACTCCAGAAATGTGTTTTAGTCTCATTTGAAAAATGTTACTGACCATCATAAATAATACTGGATAATTATACAACCCTTTAAAATGAAATGGGGTTAACGTCCTACTGTTCTGTTCCAACTGACAATCCTATAAACAACATGATGAAATAAATGTAGTGCCTTGAACTATGCCTTTGCCAAAATAAAAACTTTTTGATAAGGACTGTCTGAAAACCAGAGTATTTTTTTTTTATTTATGCAGGTATCGTAGAATATAAAAATATTTATATTTTCATAAAAGGAGACGAAAATTTTTTTCAAAATATAAAATTAACCATAAATCAATACTCCCAGTAGTAAATTTCTATCCTAATAATCCAATAATCCAGATGCGAATAAGAAAGTCATCCAGCTATTTTATGTACATAATTCATAGGAGACTAAAACAGATCAAATGCCATTTGTTTTAATTGGCATTGAATAATAAAAAATCAGGTTGAATAGCCTTGTAAAACTATTAATATTGAAATAGTTGTGTCAACACTAACACTATTACATGTCTGATGCAAGATCACACCAGATGAATTAATTCATCCATGTGTGAACATGCATTGATGACTGAACATAAGAGCTTATCATATTTCAATAATTTACTATTAGTTATGCCCCATCATCTGTTATGCTCATACTCTCCCTTTAATAAAGGATGGTCAATGAATGATTTTCAAATATATGAAAATTTGTTAAATATACTGTACTGAAACTTATATTATGATATTTTTAGCCACTGTTTCGAACTATAATGTTCTTTATTAATAAAATAAATGTATTTATTTAATATAATTGTTTCGCCATATCTCATTGTTTAGATGAAATTTTCTTTGTTAATATTGAAATTATTTATGTCATAAATCTTATGTGATATCTTTATTTACATGTATTTTAATATTAGAAATAAAAACAATATAAAACTAATTAATGGAGACTATAGATTATATGTATATGTGGACTGTGGTTCTTCAGCACTAACTATATTATTTTCAGTACCGTCAAAATAATTTCATGTTCAGTTACGTTGTCAAATGTTAGTTTCATATCGAACCTGTCGAAAAAAATCAAAAACTGTTCGGAAATGTCCACAATTATTGTCAGCACTACTGTTTTTCTGAGATTCTAAGGAAACTTGTATTATAACAAATAAACTTTCTTTAGACAGCATGTGGGCGTTTAAAAAGGTATGGTACAAAACTATGGCCTACCAATCTGGTTAAAACACAGATCCAATTTTGTTTCGTTTTCATAGTTCAAAATTTCGATTTTACTTGTCTTTACTACACTTGGATCTGGAAGCGTTGTTATTTAACTCGTGTTCTGCTTGAAATGAGGGGTCAGCCAATCAAATGGTCTGTCGAATCAAGCGTTTGACCTTTTTTGCACGGAACTGTGGGTAGACATTAGCGGCAATAGAAATCAAAACAAAGCAAAAGTAGATAAAAAATACATGGCCGTCTCTAATTGGTTAATCGAATGACTGACGTAATCGGGTCAAATGTCGCTTGCTTGGTACCTGACGTCATAGAACGTGAACTCCCACTATAACTTGTTAGATCTACATGTAGTGTAGGCCATAGAAAGTATAAAAAACGAAACGAAATATAGATCTATATTTTAATTAGATTGATGGCCTACTGTAGCAGTTTCTTTACGTGCCAGCCAATGTGTTCACATGGCCCCAGTTTTCCGTAAAATCTGATCAACTAGACACTGCTCCTTGTCAGGCCCCCTGTCCTGCATCACTGACAACGGGAACCACTAAGTAACATTCCCGGCAAACACCAGTATCAAACCCAGGACCCCAAGATTAACGAACCAGCGCCGTACTTACTGAGCCACTGTTGCTCCTGGTACCATGCTGAACTGGGTGTCTGTGTCAAACCAGGACATGCCAATAACCAAGGAGAGTCTAATTTATAAGTACATAATAATAGTAAGAGTGTTTATTACATACATACAATAATATACAAGTAAAACCTCTACAGTAACACATCTTTAATTTACTGATTTATTCACAATAATATAAAAACAGCTAACAATTTATAACTACTTGTTACATTTTTTTCATATTTTCACATAAATCTGTGAATAAATAAACCAATTATGGCCACTCATATTTCTCAATTAAAAATCTTAGTTTACAGTGAGGGTAAAAAAATCTTTGTGTGACACAATCATATCTTCATAAATATGAAAATTGGATTTAATTATCTTTTTGTAGTTCAGTTCAAAGGGAAAAAAAAAACATCTGAAACTCTTGAGCAAGATCGATTCTGATCTAATATGAAACACCTGTGGCCTAAATATGTACATAAAACTGTACCAGGGAAGAGATATTTATCTGTGCATAGACTCATCATTTTAGTTAAGTTAGAAAGTGTATCTCCTATTAGAGCTAAACCTCTTTTGTTAACAAATTCTTGGTGTTTTTTTGTAAAGTAGTAATAATCAATAAAATAGATATGATTTACTGGATAAAATACTTGGTCAGCCTGGTTGTATTAAACATCTAGAATGTCATGTGTATAGAATCATCAAGGAATGAAGTAATAATTTAACACATAATAAAGTATAAAATGTAATGACTATATAATGATGAAAATTTCCAATAACTTCACTCAAACTGGTTTTTATTCTTTAAAAGATATGCTGCCAGGTATTCAATGGGATTAGGAGGCCTGAAAAAAAAACCCATAAACATTAACACAGATACAAAGTATTATAGTTCTGTCAAATTTAAATACAGTATGACTAGGAATTAATGCTTCATGAAATTAATGCAATCTCCGAAGGGGACTGACATAAATGTGTTTTGAAATTAAGGTACAGTAACTGCCATTTCCTCTTCTGTAAAATTACACCTGGATGGCTTCTTTGACATTTAACAAAAAAATAATACACTCGTAATAATAAACTATCAGACTCATCTCAAACAGCAACCGTCTTTTGCTGCATTTTAAGGAAATAATAAGCACCTACGCTTCTTACTCTCAAAATATAATAGACGACACAATTTTAACAATATCGATGTGCAATATATGAGGTAAAAGCTATCAAATTTTGGCAAAGTGCTAGTGCTCCTCTGAGAGCCCCAAACCGCCTGAGTAACCAAATAGTTTGAGGTGATCTAGGGGCAGTGTTTGATATATTTTGAAAAAAACAAAATGAAATATATCACTTTTCTGTAAGTTTATGTTTCAAAGAACCAAGGTAGTCAATATTTATAATATTTACCAAGCGTAGATGGAATAAGTATGATAATTCAGTATGGTGGTACTGACTATTAGTGATTTCAGTCCAGACTACTTCAATGAAGAAAACAATGAAGATCAGTTCATAATGCGAAATATATTTTGTGGTGGTTGGTATTGGCAAGTATTGTCTTAATTATACATATTAATATTAAAATATTCAAATATTTTTATTACTTTGGCCTCATGGTGAGCATGCCATTGAATTATACAAAGGCTTTCTTTAGGAGATACAAAATGAAGGGAATTTATTCAACACTCTGTAGTCTAAATGATTAAAAGTCTTTTTTGTTAATACCAACCTTTCTTTAGCTAATATAGACATGCCCTGTAGTAATATTGGAACAACCGTCTGGTCTAGATAAGCCCGTGTTGGAAGAGACTGGACATCAACTTTTGGACGTTTACTTGCAGGGGCTTCAGTTGCTTCTTTTTCACTGGCTATTATTTTCTGTAATAAAAAATATATATATACTACAGTATGGTTGATACATTGATACTTTATCTTTTACAGGAAGGAAGAAAGAGTGTTATGAGGGTTTTATTGCTTCCCTGTGTCATAAGCTTACAGTTACTCTTTATGATGGATCTGTCACTATCATTCCATGTGGATTAACAGTTCCTAGAATCTGTTCATTCTAATATTTCTACTTTATTTGTCTATCATGGGGTATTTCTTTAGGGTTTTTTCTAGAGTTTTGCCAATACCGACATTCTTATACTTTGGTGTTATCATGATAGATCAAAATAATTCTCGATCGTCAAGTAATAAAAACAATTAAATTTTCCTACTTGAACATTTTCAGGAATTTCTGGAGCTGCTACTGGAGGAACCGTTTCTTGTGGTTCATTCACAGATTCTGTCACTACAGCTGCCACACTTTGTGCTTGATCTAAAATTAATAACAATAATATATCACTGAAATAGGGGGGGGGGATTTATTGAAGGATTCAATCAGTCAGAACTTTTAAGCTTAAGCTTCTCCTGGTACTTGCAATATTCACGAATAATGACCATGATTTATCTCTCTGAGTCGTGACTTCACTTAGTAAAAAAACATTATTTATGTACGCCTGTGTCCCTCTGACTCCCTAACCAACCTATTTAACAGAAGCAAGTCGCTGACTCAATATATCCACAGTCTTCGACAATGCAAACTCGACTTATTCAATCTATTAGTCAATTTAAATCAACATTGATGTTGTTAGGCCTCTATCTTCTTAGTTACTGTGAAAAGATGGGCTTTTCTGATATCCAATATTTAAGACAAAATGCAAATTTTAAAATTGGCACACAAAACGCATGCCAGAATGCTTCCACTGCCATCTGTAATGAAGCAATTCGGTGAAATGAGGCTAAACATACCCACAGCACTCAGCAGGAGATAATATCGGTGTAGACTGGAATAATCAGACGCCAAAGACTACCACCATGTGACCATTATTTCGCCAGAAATAAGTGATCAAAAATTACAGTAAAAACAGAAACGACTGAATGCAAATCAGTTTGTATACATTCATAATACATTATTATATGCATCCGTTGTAAACTTGTGACCATTTCTAGGTCCCAAATAATGAAATTATTGAAATATATTAGTTAGCTCCTTTATTAATATCCCTGAAAAGAGACGCAAAACCACGGAGGTTTGTATTTCATACCTTTGCTTTATAATCTAACATACTTTTATTCAACTATTTACTAAATCATAAAGCAAATAAGTCGATAAATATACTCCCAAAACACACAAAAACAAAAACATACCGTCTGCCATTATTTATCACCAACGAAGGAACGCTCTTCGGCAAGAATAGAGTTATTTTCTCTTGAACAAGTGCGCGAATCGCGAATATCCAGTCTTGCGGTTTCCATGGAGAGAAACAGACAAGTTTGCTCACGTATATTTGTCGCTCTTTGGTATTAAATATTATCACCGTAACAAAATCGAAACAATTAGTCAGTATTACGATTTAACAATAATCAAAGATTTATCATGACTACTCGTACAAGCTTGCTTGTAAAACGCATTTTTCTCCCATGTTCCCGCGTAAAATTAATAAATGCTTATTAATATTTCCTTTCACCCGACACATATATAAAATTTGCTGGGCTTATTTCATTTCACCCAACACATAAATTTCCTAGGCCTAACATGTGACGGGCATTTGGCCATGAGCCCATATGCTCCTCCGCCCCATTTGACCAGATTTACGTAAGCTATTTCAAACATCTTCCGTGTTAGGAACTCTTAGTATAACTTACATTACAATTGCCACTGTAATAGAAACAATTCTCATATAGTCCCAGTTTAGACGCCATATAAGTTGTTATTATATATCGCTTTTATCGGAGTGGCAGAAGTTGACATTTTGCCAATGACATGTGTTTACGTAAAACACGTGTTTGATCGGGTTATTTTTACTCTGTTGTGTACACAAAGCAATAGTCCAGTCGATAAGCCCCGCCCCAAAATGATCACGTGGGCCATTTTAATGGAGTCCAACTAGGGCAGTGATCATAATCTCGAAGTATGACGTAGATGGGCCGCTGCGTGCAGTTTGAATAGATTCCAGCCTCTGGGGTATGATGGATCTGATACAAAACTTGAGTTCGAATTTAATGGATGACAATTGAGCGTTACTACGATATCTTCATCACAAAGGAATGACAATGGAATCTTGTGGCATCTATACCGGCGTTCCATACGAAATCCATGCGGTGCGGTCGGTCTACAATTATCTCGACTTCAGAACAGACACGAAGTCACTGGACCGACATTGTAATTCCCATTTCGACAAATTTAGTCGAAAACACTAAGTACACTTCCAGAATTTTGAAAAGTGTTTATACCACTTCCATTTTCATATCTAATGAAATTGAAAATGTTTTTTTAATCTCTGAGTATGACACGGATAGAATCGCATAATAAAATGGCGGCCATTCAAGACATAGGGTTAGTGCTAATTATGATAAGGCTAGCTCAATTTTTCGTCATAGGTCACGAGATGTAAATAGGGCTAGCGCTAATCCCAACTCTAACCCTAACCCTAGCCCTAATGCTTACCCTAACCCTAACCTACAATCTCGCCAACAACCACATGCCCTAACCTTATTTACATCTCAACGACCTTGACAAAAATTGAACTGGCCTTAGATTCAGCTCAGGACAGAGATCTATAGATTCTAAAGTTCTCAGTGTGCAGTGTTGACGGTCTTCCGTGAATGTATGTGGTGGTTCTCAATATTTAATCAACTTTTCTAAATGATTTCGTACCCGAAAGTTTCTTTTATAACTTCGGGAATTTAGATCAAAAGAAAGAGATCAGTTGGCCGTGACTGTGCCGCGTTTCGTTCCACCACTCGCTGAAGTGAGACAATTTACATAACTCTGAAACGCTGGCTCGCTAGCCTGGAGGTCGGGTGTTCGATCCCTGCATTGGCCGAGAAAGTTCATCCAGATTTTCCAGCGTGGTTTCCCCTTGTCAGTGATGCAGGCCGGATTGCTTGACAAGGACAGCTGTCTAGTCGTTCGGATGGGACGAAAAACCGAGGTACAGTGTACACATTGGCGTGCACGACGTAAAAGATCCCTTGGCAGTTGGAATTCGATATAAGAGTAGGCCGTAGTGCCGCTGCCTGGGCAAAATTTCCCTCATAGCACACTGTATGGCGTATGCCCGTCTTCATTAGCCCAGTTTAGGAGGACGTTAAACCCCATTTCATTTCATTTCATTTCATAATTCTGAAAAAGGAATTCCAGCATGGAACATGTTAAGCACGGGCATTAAATTAATTTGTGAAATTCAATGTGCGATTTATCTCGACTCGTCTTTCCTTCAACTTCTCTTGTCTCTAGTTTTATCATAATTGCATGAAATATGCACAACCATTTCACACATTCAGTCTTCAATTATTAATGCGCCATGTGCTCGATACACATACTGTTTACACTGGTGAACATGATAAAGATTGCAACGCCCGTCAGATGAAGGGATCAGATGGAGCGACATTTGTAGACAAGATTATACCAGGCGTTATTCTAACAGCACGGTGACTAAAGCTGAGTGATGGCATTGATCACGAAACAGATGTTTTCAAATGTTGGGTTTTGACTCTAATCTTCTTTATATTAATTCAATAAAGGAAACTTAGCCCGAGGGATTTGCAGAAGTGTCAAATTTAGCTCTTGTAGCCTAATACCGACAGATCTTTTGTTAAACCACTGTTTAAATTCCATGACAAGACTACACAAGCATTAGAAATATTTTGCCATGGATTTCAAGCCACGTGTTTCTTAAAGACATTCTGTAGAATGGTGTTGTTTTGATTATTATTTGTGTTTTAAACCGTTACAATTTTAAATACGTATTCAAAGAATCAATTAATACCAAAGTATACGTGTTATTTCAAACTGACCAGAAGTAAATATTCCATTGGCTCTTAATATTAACTTTTTTCTCTTTTAAAACTAAATTCTAAAACAATTTTTTCAATTATTAAGAACAAAATTAAAGGTGTTGGAAGTATATCTGGTTTAAAAAAAAATATTTCCTATTTAGTACAAATTTTAATGGGTACATAAAGTAGCACGCGAAGGCATAAAATAGTAAATGGCACCAATTCTCCCATGACCAGTTTGTGTTACTACCTCCGATGTAATCAGACCACGTGTTATCAACGCCGTATTGCGTGACGTCACACGTAAACCTTTACTGCACATGAAGTTAATGGTCAGTCATCCTGTACGTACAGTGTTAAAAGAAGGCTTTTGCATTACCGCTTTCAGACAGATTGGTGGTTTTTCTTTTGTGTCTAATTACTCGAATATGTAATTTTGAATTTCTATCCTGTGCAGGTTTTTTTTTTTTTTTTTTTTTTTTTTTTTTTTTTTTTTTAATAGGCCTATTAGTTGAAATGAATTGAAATGGGGTTTGGCGTCTTACTTTTCTTCTCAAATATCACTTGACAACAGCTGTCTACATTACTGGAATTCAAACTCCCTGGTTAGGAAATATCTATATAAAAATGCGCACATTCAAATAACCGCATATACGCCCATCTTCAATAGAAGGCTTGATCTCGCCTTAACTACGTACATCTTATCAAGATGTTGTAAAACTCGCGGTCGTTGCTTCAGGAACATGTAAAACTCGCGGTCGTTGCTTCAGGAACATGATATACGCCATGCCGAGCTACGTATAGGCCTACACTCTTCTAGCGACAGTCCTGGATTAAGATAGTAAGAAACGTACGGGTTCCGGATTTCTAATGGCCCGCGTTAAAATACTTTCAAGCTACCAATCACTTTACTGCCCCCATAGCTTAAGATCAGGGGCGGATTGGGGCCGGAAACCGCGGAGCCCGGACGGGGGGTCCGGGGGCTTTCCGCCGGGAAAATTTTGAAAATTGAACCCCAAATATGCGATTTGGTGGCATATCTGATTATAATCTCTGTCAAATAGTATATCTCATAAATCGATTAATTAAGGCCAAAATCCCGACCTGCAAGTAATTTACAGCCATCAACCTGTGAAATCATCATATCGTCATATTATGCAGGATTCCGAATTCCGGCCCACACACAGCACACCACGCCCAGAAAGTCTATTATACCAGCCCATTCCAGACTCCAGTGATGGCGTGGCGGTCCGTTAAAGCCACCGACCACATACAACATGATCATCATCGCTCCATGGCCGGTCCAATACTCCCCCCCCCCCATATAATGTTTAGCAGAAAAAGGTTTTTTAGACGAATTGGACAAAATTATTTTTTCAGTTTTTTGTCCGACCGGCCTTTCGGGCGATTGCCCGATCGCACGATGGCCCAATCCGCCCCTGCTTAAGATTGAAAAGGCCGGCGCGCGAAGTGACCGAAAAAGGCAAACCAGTAGAAGTCCACACCCAGCAGTTACATAAATTTGTCATTCTTATTTTAACTGATTACGACCGACTCGGTACATACCAGCCAATCAGATCTCTATTAAAATGTACTGATGAATTAGGAATGTTGTCCAGTCTGTGATCAGACTCATACCAAAGATCAGTTTATTAATGTGAATAGTTTATGATGTCCAGCTGTCCAGACATACAGTAATCATCTTGTAATTTATATCATTTCATAATAACACGATAAATACCTCTAGCAATCTCGTGATGATTTTCATGTGACCTAGGTCACAGCATCAACGCATGTGGTCAATGGAACAATAGGGGCGTGGCAAATAATGAAGGATAAATATTATATTATGAGATACACGCTTCATGTTAGATGTTGCAGGCACGTAATTCGAATGTCGGTCTAAAAGTGATTCGATTATTGGAGATATTTATTTTTATAAAGAGTGTGACTGCTTGAATAGAATGAACATAGCTAACAAATTAATGCTAGGATTTCTACAGTTTTCACCATCGTGTGTGACATGCCGCATAATAATCCAATAATTAATATCTCCTCCCCGGGTAAACAATGGTAATGATTGGAGAATGTAATATACAGCACCCCTACCCCTACAAATATGTTGGCAATGAATAATGATATCAGCTATGCTAGTAAAAAAAAGAGTAATCATAGTAATTTTAGACACCCGCTCTTAGTTTAAATTTCGTATAGCTCAACGTTGCTATATTCTTTTTGTTTACGACCAATTTTACGAAGTGGCTGTCCGACATTCTATCTTTATTTTATGTAAACAATTACAAGTCAAGAATTATTAATTTATATATATGGAGGATTCGTTGAAGTCTCGACTCAGTCATATAATATTTATTGTATCGTAGTTATTTTGATCCGGTCCCACTTGACAATTATCCCGGATAAAAATAATAGAGCGTTGGGTACTCCCAAAGAAAATTGAAAAGGGTTGTTCATCAAGAATTTGTTTGAATATCTTCGTTAAATTGTTGATCTTTTTGC